CTTTTCTTTTTTTCAATTTTCCTCCTTTTTATTTATTTATTTATTTTAATTAATTTGTATTTATTATTTTTTCATATTTTTTTCGTATTTTTTTATTTTTTCATATATTTTTTTCATATTTTTTTTATTTTTCATATTTTTTATTTTTAATTGAAATTTTTATAATTTATATTTATTTTTTATTCGCAGATACACCACCGGAGATCCAGTATCACTTCATCGAGCAGACGGTGCAGCCGGGCGCGGAGATCTCCCTCAAGTGCTCGGCGAGGGGGAGGCCGACCCCGAAGATCCACTGGAACCTCGACGGCTTTCCCATCCCGAATCACGCCGGGTAAGAATAAATAAGCCCAAAAGAATCGACGAGAAGAGACGATAAACGACGCGTTCCTCTCAGCTTCGTGATCGGCCAGTTCGTGACGGGACAAGGCGACGTGATCAGCCACGCGAACATCTCCCACGTCGCCACGAAGCACGGCGGCCGCTACGAGTGCAGAGCCTCGAACAAGGCCGGCGAGGACTCCCACGAGGAGCGGCTCAACGTCTACGGTGGGGATGCGTTTTTGGGTTTTTGGGCTTCGCGGGTGTCGTGCTTTGAAGGTGTCGTGCTTTGGGGGGTTTTGCTTGGGGTTTCGCAGGGCCGCCGGTCGTGAGGGAGATGGCGACGCAGACGGCGGTGGTCGGGGAGGACTTCAGGATCAGCTGTCCTGTCGGGGGCTTTCCCATCAAACGCATCTCCTGGTTTAAAGGTCTGTGTCCTCCGTGCATGCCTTCCGTGCCTGTCTTCCGTGCCTGTCCTCCGTGCCTGTCCTCTTGAATCGACGAATGATGAGACAGATGGCCTTGGAAACTCTTCCTCGCTGTTGAGTGCTCGTTCCGAATAATGATCAGGGACGATGATGAGGTCATAATGAGAATGGAAAGTGAACCATGTCCAGATGAATGAGGAAGCAGCTGGGGGTGAAGGGAAGAAACGGGGATGGGATTCCGGGACGAAACGGCGAAGGATCCTCTTCCGTGCCGGATCCGGAAAGCTAACGCTGGGAGGTGGCGAGGCCGTTCCGGTGGAGGGGAGTTGGTGGGGAAGACGTGGGAAAATTTGTTGACGGAAACGGAAACTGTTTTGTTGATTCGTTAGGTCATTATTTAAATAATATTAATAAGGAACTGCGACTCCATTCCGGGTTTGGGGGAGCTTCATTCGGCTCTCACTAGATGTCTCTCCTGAGGTGTGTGGGTACCTCGCTTTTATTTTCGTGTTTATGCCAGTTGTGTCCTTTAATTCAATTCTCAGGCGATTAAATTCTCGCTGAAAAGAAGTTGAGGCGAGGACGGCAAGTGCCAACATAGCCTAAAATATGGCTAAATAAAGGCATAAAATAATAATATATGGCAGATGAATGCTAACTTTCTAATCTTTTCGTGCAAAGCAGGGCGAGAATTGCGCGTGCTATCTCCTAGAGGAAACGAGGTCTTGTAACTTCTAGACGAAAACCATCCGACCATGAAAGAACCAATTTACATTCGGATCCCAACTTCTCGCTGATTGATTCCTTCCGAGCGAGGCAAAGTAACAACAGATCGATTTCATGGAACAAATTTCAAGGTCACGTACTGATCCTCAAAGAAGCTGCACTGATGAACAGTAGACGACAGCGTGAAGAGCTGCTGCCGCCACGCCGGCGCGAGCGCCTCTGACCGACTCGTGCAGGAGGATGACACCCTGGCTTCGAAGTCAGGGTCACTCGCCGGGGGTAGGGAAGGGGAGGGGGGTTGAGAGAGATCGGAGGCCTGGCTCCTCACTTGGCCCTGACTCCTCACTTGGCCCTGACTTCTCACCTGGTTCTGGCAACCTTGCATGGTGGAAACGTGGATTGCGGGGGGGGGGGGGGGGAGAAAGAAGGGAGGCTTT